TTTTTTTTTTTTTTTTTTACAAAAATATACATTGATATGGCCACAGGAAGAAATCTTAACTTTGAAATCCCAACAAATCTAACCTAATTTGTATTGTGATCTGTGAATTGCCAAACTTGGAAATGATTGTTTCTAAAAGATTAGAAATGCAAGCTGGTTTTTGCTGTATCGTCTTCTTCTACATGAACCTCAGTCACAGCATCTCTCTAAGACAAATGTACTCTTGAAAATGTGTGGAGGAGGCAACAGATTGCAGAAAGCCTCGGCTCACCATCTCCCACCAGAAGGGAAAAGGGAACAAGCTTGGACTTTCAACTTGATTGGGCCAAAGAGAAAGTCAAAATTTAAAAGCACATGAAACGAATGGGGGTGGGGGCAGAGAATGGCTATTTCACCAGGTGGTCAATGAAACTAAATATATAATCAGAACCACGATAACACTGAGGGCATGAACGTGTCATACAGAATTGAAGTGGGTTAAAACAATTATTTTATCTTTTCATAATGGAAGCACTGTTATTCACCCTAAATTTTCCTTTAACCCAATTTCTCAAATAGAATCAACTTTAGGAAAAGAAAAATCTATTTCTGGACATCTCTTAAGAGTAAAACTTATAGAAAAAAAAAGGAAATGAAAGGAAACAACCTAAGATGTCTCCATTTCCTCCCATCCCCCTAGCCTACCCCCCAAATACACTCTCATATACACAGACCAGTAAAAGCTCCATAATGAAAACCTACAACAGAAAAAGGTAAGATTCACATTCTAAGAAGTTAAATATATTGAACTTAAGGACATTATGTTAAGCACATTAAGCTTGAACAGAGCAGCCAATTCAAATTTAAGCCGGCCTTCAAAAAAAATCTTATCAAAATATGCATTTTTCATTTGTCTTTTAAATTAAAATAATTTTTTTTTAAGAAGTTTAAAGAATTCACAAGCAGTAGGATGACTAGTTCCAGGCCCACCCTGGAGCACGGGCTCAACCATTTTGGATGTCCTGGACCCCTTCAGCAAGTCTATGGACTCTTTTTCAGAATGTGTTGAAATGTATAACATAACATACATAGGATTACAAAGGAAATCAAAAGTCCCTTTTCCCTATCCAAATTCACAACCCCCCCCCCCCCAAACCTATTCATAAATTCTTTGGAGGGATTCATGGATCTCAGGTTAAGAATCCTTAATAATTTTATTATATAATTTAATTTATTTAGGTTCAAGATGGCAACTTGCAAGCAACAGTCATCTTCCAAAGTCAATTTTCTCCCAATGTAAAATACCCACGTCACGTATGAGGGAAGATAGAGAAGTTCCTTTGAGAATTTCAGAGAACAGTAAAACCAGCTCTGCTGTCTTTCACAGAGTTAAGGCTTCAAATGGATATAGTTGTTCTGTGTAAAGTACTTTCCATCCTGTTTCGATCCTTTCACCAAAAGGTCAAGAATCAGTCTGAGAAATTCCCACGTAGCATCTCCTTGTGAGGATGGAGAGATGGGAACAGCTGTCATTGTTTATCAAATAATCAAACATTCTCTCTTCTCTGACGTTACCTCCTTAGTACTAGAAGCCAGTCCTCTTTTGGAAACGGATGGAGCTCTGTTTTAGGACCATAAAGACAACTCCACTTCTCTCACGCGTGTATTTCTTCCGCTCATCAATCACCATCTGGTAGATCTCTATCACAGTGATCATTTTAGGTTCCAATGTGACTGTTTTATATAACAGACTTCCATTTCCACCTTCCTTCCCATTGCCCCTTACGGCCTGTATAAACTCCAAGCCACTCTGCTGAACAAGTATCTCCACCGAGCACAAAAATATTTCCATACTGCTTTGAACACAGAATTTTAGAGTTCTTTTAAGGTGAAATTTTCATCAAATGCTACTTCGTTTATGTCATACCCAACTAGGTGTCCATCAGCTGTGATCCAACGGTCATTAAACAATGGCTGTCAATCACTTTAATCTCCCACTCCTCCTACTTTGTTTGGTAGGTTGTCGATTTCTTCTCTTCCTTTCATGTCACAGCTGTGACTCTACACATCCACCCACATGAATCCACATGAGTAGATTCTCAAACTGTCAAAACTGCCATTTTTTGTTCATGTAGGTTGCTAAATAACCACAGTCGTCCTAGGTATGGATTATGTTACTATCTGCTCTTCAGAAACTGACTGTAGACCTTTCAAAATGGCATCTTCATCAGCTTTTGCACTGAGCTTGATGCTGAGGGCACTATCCTGCAGCTGCCATGGTGAAGAGCCCAGTGTCACACCTGGAGGCCACAACCAATACTACTTCTGTACACTCATGGGGGTTGGCCTTAATTTCCTCAGCTATAAAATGAGGAGCTTGGCTAGGTGATTTATTCAGGTCTGTCATGACTGAAATTAAGGTAGACTGTCTCAGCTCTAAACCTATAACCTGTGATCCTCACAATAGAGGCAGTCAGCTGGGTGATCCATGGCAAATCAGTCAATAGGCATTTATTAAGCCCTTACTCTATGCCAGGCATTGTGCTAAGTGCAGGGGATATAAAGAAAGGCAAAAAATACCATCCCTGCCCTCAAGCTGCTCATATATTAAGGGGAGAAAACATGCAAAAAACTACATACATACAAGGTGCATATTTATTATAAATAGGAGATGATCTCAGGCTGGGGACTACTAGGGCAGAATGTTGGGTACACTGTCAGATGAGATCATCGTATTGAGTATTTTCTGTTAATGCTTTCACATTATGGGGGAAGGGGGGAAGGCATTCCCCAAAATGACTAATACTAAAAACAAAGGGCATCAATGCACCTTATTTGGAAAAAAAAAAAAGCAACAAGTTCTCCTTGTTTTTCCCTTAGGGCTGGGTCCTCCTAGAATTCACCCCCTTCCTTGACAAAGGAGGTAGAATGCAAAACCCCTTCCTGTTCTCTCATCACTCCTATTCTTCAGTTCCTCAGGTAACAGAGACTCCAGATTGGGACTACAATAGGTATTAATTAGTCCAAGTACGATTTACTTACATTTTAGGTCAGAAGATTAATCCAGAAGCCATGGATCGATGGTTGGGGGGAGTCCATGAACTTGGAAGGGAAAAAACATTTTGAGGACTGAATTTCAATAGAACTGGTTTCCTTTGCAATCCTGTGCTTTTATTTTAAACATTTAAAAGCATTATTCTGAGAAGGGGTCCGTAAGTTTCACCAGACTGCTGCCAAAGAGTCCATGACTCAAAAAAGGTTAAGGACCATTATCTGAGGTGAACTTCCAGGCTGACCATCTCTAACGTAAATGACCTTCCTCTTCAACCTGACCCCTTTGTATCACGCAAGAGGGTTCATTAGAAAAATTTAAAGCATAAAATTCTATGTTTTCTTTTACAACATGACTATTATAGATATTTTTGCACGTCTACACATACATAACTTTTATAAAATTGCTTGCCTTCTAAATGGCGGGGTGAAGAGGAAGGAAGAGAATTTGGAACTTAAAGTTTTAAAAACAAATGTTATAAATTGTTTTTACATGTAACTAGGGGAAAATAAAATACTAAAAAAAGTCATACAATTTCAGCACAAGAGGAAGTATGGGTGTTATGGCAAAGGTGTGTGTGGGGGGTGGTTTTCAGGGTGTTATCATGCAGCTACCATGGTGAAGCGCCCGGTCTCATGCCTGGAGGACATGACTGTACTATGTACTTCTGTACTATGAGTTCAAGTGTATGAGGCTGAGAAGACCTGATGCAAGAACTGTCTCTGACACACACTGGCTGTGTGACCCTAGACAAGTCACTTAACCTCTCGCTGCCCTCTAAATAATTCTTTAAGACTCAAGTTACAGGAGTTCCGCCTCCAGGAGCCAAGATGGCAGAGTAAGAAGTCGCTCTCATCCTCCCTTACTGACTTCTGAAAGCCCAGGAAATATCACCCCAGGAAAAATGCTGGAACAGCTGAACCAGCAGAAAGACAGGGTGCAGCAGTCTTATAGCCCGGGAAGCTTGGGGGATTAACAGGAAAGGCCTCTCTCACTCTGGGGGGATGGGAGCAGTATAGGACAAGAGGCATCCCAGCAAGCCAGCAGCAAGCGCCACCTCAGCATACCAGCGGGGATACTGAGCCCCAGGGTGGTGGAGCAGGCAAGAGCTAACAACAGGACCCCTGAGTGCCTCAGCACAGGCAGGGGAACCAGCAGACAGCAGCTCAGAAAACCACCACGTGTGACGGCGTTCTCCAGCAGCCAAATCTCCCAGTACCTCAGCACAACTCTGGGAAGCACAACTCCAAGACGCAAAGCTCCAGGCTGACAGATATCCTCCAGCAGCCAAACATACGAATGCAAGGCCCAGGTGAGCAGGCATCCCCCAGGTGCCAGACTCCCCACCCCGACCCTCGAGAGTTCCAGCAGTGCTGACCCCAGCCTAGCACCAGGTAAGCTGCCAGACCCCTACAGCCTCCAACTGCCAGCACCTGAGGCCCCAGCACAAAAAGCCAATAACCAGGTCCTGGGCTTCCAGCACAAGAAGCTTGGGTCAGTGCCCCCTGTACTCCAGCAGGAGAGCTCGACTTCTTTAAAAGTCAGGAAATAAGCAAACACCATGAGCAAAAAGCAGAAACAGACAATGACCACAGATTCTTATTATGGGGACAGGGAAGATCAAGGCACAAATTCAGAAGAGGACAACATTGTCAATCTACCCACATCCGAAACCTCTAAGGAGAATATGAACTTGTCTCAAGCCCAAAAAGCCTTCTCAGAAGAGCTCAAGAAGGATTTTAAAAGTCAAGTAAGAAAGGTAGAAGAAAAACTGGGAAAAGAAATGAGAAGTATGCAAGAGAGAGTCAATAACTTGGAAAAGGAAGGACAAAAATTAACTGTAGAAAACAAGTCCTTAAAAATACAACGGGCCAAATGGAAAAAAAGTACACTGAAGAAAACAAGTCCCTAAAAAATACAATTGGCCAACTGGGAAAAAAAAAGTACACTGAAGAATACAACTCCTTAAAAAGGAGAATTGGCCAAATGGAAAAGGAGGCACAAAAATTCACTGAGGAGAAGAACTCCTTAAAAATACAGATTTAAGTTACAGAGGTATTGTTCATGTGCATTGGGGAAAAGAGTTTCCATGCAGGGAAGCTCCCACACTGATGAAATATAAAATGAAATAAAAAATGAAATTAAATGAAATTAAAAATCTACAGCACACTGCTCCCCCACCAAATAAAAAAAAAAAAACCAGCACACTAGTGTCTCTAATTTTACAACAGTCTCCTAAGTCAGGAGCTCTTAATTTGGGAGGTCTATGAACTTGATTTTTAAAAAATATTTTGATAACTATAATCCTGTGTATTTTATTTTACACATTTAAAAACATTTTTCTGAAAAGCATTCAGAGGCTTCACAAAGGGGTCCTGGAAACAAAAAAGGTTAAGGACCCCACCCAAAGTTCCAATTCCCTGTTCACTGATCAGCAGTAAGTGTTTTCCTGCAGGTAAACAAGGCGGACTAACTCTGTCTTAACATCCAACATAACTCATGTACAACTTTCCTTGTACTCTACTTAATAAAGTCACATTGCATGGATGAATGAGCGTATGAATAAATAAAGAAAAAAAATTTACTAAGAGAAGAATCATTCAAAAACGCCCCAGACAAATCGCTCAACCAAAGTCCCATTTTTCTCCTCTGTTAAGTGCAGAGACCTGCCCCGCTTCCCTCATCGGACTGGCAGGTTCAGCTGAGAACCTCATTTGAGAAAGGAGTCTGGAAAAGCCAATTCCATCTAGAGGTGATACCCAAGACAGAAGTGACTGGTGCACTCCCGCTGTTTCTAAATCCTTCCTTCCTGCCTTCCTTCATTTCTTTCCTTCTTTCACTCAGCTCCTGCTGCTCTTGGCAACTTGTCTCCTTCCTTCCTTCGATTTCCTTCCTTGCGGGCAAGAGGGCGTGAGGTAGAAGAGCTAGGTTCTTTGAGGAGACACGCACACACGCAAAACGTTAGGATGGAAAGAGCGCTAACTCTGACATCAGTCAGTCAATAAGCATTTATTAAGGGTCTACTTCATGCTGGGCACTGTGCTAAGCACTAGGGATGGAAAGAAAGGCAAGAGATTTCTAATTCTCTTCTTCTCTCCCCCAGCATGGTGCTAGGCACCAAGAGAGGTTCAATAAATACTCGTTTCTTGGTCTCTGACTAGACTGTTGATAATTGCTTGAGGAGTAAATGAGTAAACAATGAACAAATACAGGCAACCAAACTGAGCAATGAAGTTGAAAACTCCCTCCCCGAACCGGCCGCCCGATGGCCAGATGTGGCCCAAACCCAACGCCAGGCGAGAAGGATGCCGCTGAATGCGTGCGCGTGGCTTTGGAAACATCCGACCCTCCAGATTCTCCCCTCTGCCAAGGCGCTCCGAGTCAGCCGGGCATATCTGTACTCAAAGGGGTCGCCGATAATTCATCCCAAGGGCGCTGGCATCTCAGAGCCTCCATTGACAGCAAATGGGTTTTGCTCTCTGGGCTCCGAAGGCTTTGGCGGCTTCTCAGTTTTGCTTCTGATACTGCAAAAGGGAGACAGAATGTGAGGAGGTAAGGACGGCATGACCCAAGCCAGGGAGGAGGGTCTCTGCTCTGCAAAGCTCAAACATCCTGAATGCCCCGCTCCTGATCTCACTCCTGGCTGGGAGCAGTGACTCAGCACTTAGGATCTGCCCTGGGAGTATAGCCCAGCAGTTGGGGAACTACACTTGGGTTCAAATCCCACGTTAGCCATGAGTTATCTGACCTTGGGCACGGCAAACAGCTCTGTGCCTCAGTTTCCACATCTGCAAAATAAAAGTGTCGGACCTGATGGTCTCCAAGGTCCCTTCCGGCCCTACGATCCTATGAGCTGAGTCTGTTTTCCCAGCCACAAACTGGAGATACTACATGAACAACCTCTTTGAGCCTTAGTTTTCCCATCTCTAAAATGGGGATATTACTTACACTAAGTCTTACCTGACAGGTCTGTTGCAATGGAAATGACTTGTAAACTCTAAGCTGACAAATAAATGACGCCCCTCCCCCAGCTGCTCCTGCCTTCCCTCCCAACCTTGGGTTTATTCTGTATTAATTCTGCATATGCTAATCCATGTACACGCAGGCTCCCCTAACAGAGTGGAAGCTCCATGACGGCAAGGACTCCGCAGCTGTCTTTGTAGCCTCAGAGTCTGAGAGGCAGCTTTCGGGAGTGGGCAGAGAGCTGGCCTTGGGGCAAGGAAGATCTGGCCTGTGCCACTCACTGGCCGGGTGAAGCTGGGCCAATGACATAGCCTCTCAGTGACGGAGGCGATTCTCTAAGACGCGAGACTGCCTGGAAGGCGCCAGTCCGCACAGGTGGAGGGCATTCCTCTTAATAACGAATAGCTCCAGTCCTATCCAAGTGCCAGGCGCACAGTAGGTGACTTATACACCTTTGCTGCCTGAGATGTGACGACGGTTAGTGTTCTCATAACCATTACCCTCATCATCATAACCCTTGCCTTGAGCCCCTTCTCTCCTCCGATGAAGTGGGGGGCTGAGCAAGGAGGCCAGCGAGCTCCCAGGAAGCAGGGGCTGCCCTCAAGCACAGGGCTTGGCACACAGTACGTGCTGAATAAATGTTTGCTGAACGTAACTGACAAGAAAGGAATGTGAGCCAGGGACAGTGGAGGTTCTGATTAGATTAACTTGGGTGTCTAATACTCCCAGAAAACAAACTCTCCCTCCCAGCCAACACACCACGGTGTGGAGGTGGGCTACATAATGTAGGCAGGATTGTGTCTCCTCTTCCCCTTCCTGGTCTCCTCATCCAGGCTCAGCCGGCACTATCTGACAACAGCCTGTCTTTACGCAGCAGTGTGGTAGCCCCCACCCCCATGGTTTTCCTTCCTTCCCATATAGTCTGCAGCCTGTGAGACAATAAAATTAATGGCTAGCATTTATAGAGTTAAGATTTATCCCCACTTTACAGATGAGGACACTGAAGCAAACAGAGGTTAAGTGCCTTGTCCAGGGCCACATAGCTAGTAAGCGAATTGAGGCCAGATCTGAACTCAGGTCTTCCTGACTCAAGGCCACACTCTGTCCACTACACTGCCTAGAGGCATGTGCCTATCTTATCTCATCTGAGCCTCACAACAACTATGGGAGGTAGGTGCTATTATTATCCCCATTTTACAGATGATGACGTTGAGGCTAAGCAGCTTGCCCAGGGCTGCAGAGTTAACCATGGGGTCTGCAGCCTACTCTGGCTTTCCTCTCTCCAAGTCAAGACTGCCATTGACTGGCCACCTGAGGACAGGACTTTGGATCCCAGGTCTGCAATGTGCTGTCTTTGTGGCCTTGGGCAACTATTTAAACTGTGGAGTTCCATAAAATGAGGGTCCCTCAGCTAGGGCCAGGCTGAATGGAGAAGAGACCCAACCACTGGGAGGCAGGGGAGATCCCTAGTGGTTGAGGAGATCTTGGCTTGCACTCATCTCTACCACTCAATCTCCCGCCATGTCTTCTGAGCCCACGTTAAACCCATGAAACTCACCTTCTTCATGACCCAATCAGCATCTTCAATGGCTCTTCTAATAATCTGTTGGATTCTCTCGGGGTTGTCTTCATCGGCATGGACTCGGAAACTCTGGAGGGTGTGAGCACAAGAAGAAATCATTGAGTAGAATTCATAATGATGGCTAATTTATCACAGAAGAACTGGGTTTTGTGAGCACTGGAGATGAGGGTAAGTGTTCACTCCAGCTTTGAAACTCCCAGTGTGGAACCTCCCTACGTCAATACAGCAACTTGACTATACGACAGAGATACAGAGGATTATCCATGAAAGTAAGGATCCATGTGCTGATCCATATGCTTGAAAATCAGGTCAGAGTGAAAGAAAATTAAATAGCAGGCCCAAGAGATATTTTAGGGTCTATTTCCTTCTGGTTTCATTTCAACAGGTTTTTGTTATAGAAGGGATGACTAGGAAGGGGAAAAGGAGCACTAAGTAGTCAGGGCCAAAAGGAAGTTACATGTCTCCAACCTCTTGATAATTCATGCTCACTTTGAAATCTCATGATAATTAACAATAATAATATTGGATCTCCCATTCCTTTAGCCCACAGCACAACACAGAAAGACTCCTTTAACTACAAAGTGCCAGCTTACTCTCAACCTGAATTGATGAGGGGCCTTCCTTTCATGAGGCAAAGCAATATACTGGAATGAGTGCTGGTCAGGAAAGCCTGGGTTCAAATTCTGCCTCTCATACTTGTAAGAGCCATGGGTAAAGTCACTAAACTCCTGTGAGCCTCAGTATCCTCACCTGCAAAATGGGGATAATATCTTTAACTGTCTCACAAGGCTGCTGTGAGGCTCAGATGAGATTTGCAAACTCTAAATACAAGCCATATAGATGTAATTAATATCATTGTTGTTACTATTTAATGTGGAATCATGTAATTAAAAATAAACTTTGTGTGGGTGCCAGTGGGGAGGCGGGAGAGAAGCTCTACTGCAGTGCTCAGATAATAAGATGGGGACTTAAGGAAGTGGGGGACAAGTAACCAAAAAAAAAAAAACTGCAGTATATCAGAAAGACCAAGTCTGGGGCTGCCACTTACAGGCAGTGTGACCATCAGCAATTCACACCCTCTCTCTGGGCCTCAGTTTCCTCACTTGGAAAATGGGGGAAATGCCCCCTAAGCTCCCTCCCAGTTCTAAAATGATGACCACGATGTCCTGAGGTCATGGGGAGTGTTTTGTGAAAATTCAATCCTTGTAGGGGACAGCCAACCCCCAGAGTCCGCAGGTTGGTGTGTCAGCACCTAGGACAGCACCCTACCCCCAAAGGGCCTCCCAACTGCTCTGTGCAAAGACTGCCCCCTTGGGTAAGGGGGCTACACAGGCAGTTTAGGGAGATGGCAGCAATTTCTCAGGAAGCGTTTTCAGGACAACACAGCATGGAAAGAGTTCTGGCCCAGGAATCTGAAGACCTCAGTTCTAGTGCCAGGTCTGCAAAATGAGGACACTGGACCAGATGATAAGAACAGCTAACACTTATATAGCACCTACTATGTGCCAGGCACTGTGCTAAGCCCTTTACAATTATCACCTCATGTGGTTCTCACACCAATCCTGGGAGGTAGGTGCTATTACTATCCCCATTTTACAGCTGAGGATACTGAGGCAAATAGGGATAAGTGACTTACCCAGGGTCACACATACTTAAGTGTCTGAGGCAGGTTTTGAATTCAGGTCTTCCTAACTCCAGGCCTACAGCCCTATCCACTGGACCCCCTAGAAGCTGCCTAAGGTCCCTTGCAGCTCTGATATTCTATGTCAATGGATCAGAGACTACTTCTTTGAAGTGCGACACACAATGGATAGCACAGCGGATAGAGCACTGGATTTGGCATCAGGAAGACCTGAGTTCCAATCTCACTGGCAGAGGGTCTGTTGAAGCCCCCACCACTGAACAACAGAACCAAAAGCATCAAAGAGAAAGATTCTATCAGGGACGGAACTGAGCGGTTCTAGGGCCAGCAAATTCCAGAATCTGGGCTCACAGCTCCTGGGAGAAATCATTTCCTGCCCTAGGCCCTGGGACTGAATCCTCTCTCTGATACTTACTAGCTGTGTGACTCTGGATACATCATTTAACCTCTGTGTGCCTCAGTTTATGCATCTGTAAAATGAAGGAGCTAGATACAACGTTCACTTCCAACTCTAAATCCGTGATCCTATAATCAATTTCCTTCTCCAAGAAAATGGAGTGACCACAGGACCCCATGGTGAGTAATCCTGCACCTAAAGGACTGTAGAGTCCTTTCTCAATAACGAACAAAGGCAGTGGGGTGGCCAACCCAACAAACCTTTTGGCTTTCAAGGCTGGGTTTTTTCCCTTTAGTGGCAGCAGCAGCGGCGGCGGCAGCTTAACTTCTAATTGTGATTGCCTTTGGCTGGCATGAAAACGAGCAGACATTTCCCAAGCTCACAACTGTTGGCAGAGGGGATATTCAGAAAAGCTGGGAAGCCAGCCTGAAGTTAAACACTGTTGGCACAGAGGTACAACACAGTCTATTAAGCATTGGCTGTATACAAATCAATCCATCAACAAGCATTTATTAAGCACCTACTCTGTGCCACGGCACTGCCCCTGCCCTCACAGAGCTGATGTTCTATCAGAAGACAAAGCCCATGACAAGGTCACTGGGGGTGAGGGAAGCCCTCATGATAGGGATGACACCCAAGATGAGCTCTGCAGGCAGCTAAGAGGCAGGAGTGGGGAGACGGTACCACAGATGAGCAGAGCAGGAAGGCCGGCCCGGCTGGGCTCAGAGTGTGAGGGGTGAGCTGGCTAGGGGCTAGATGAGGCAGGCTAAGGCCTACTGGATGGCCCCACAGAGCAGGCACAAGCAGAATGGAGGCCGCCTCCCACCACTCTGGGCCGCACCCTGCGGCGGGGGCCTTCTCCCACCTGTCTGATGGTGTGCTTATAGTGCTCCTGGATGTTCTTGGCAGGCAGCTGGCGACAGCAGCGCAGCAAGTAACGGTACAGCTGCAGCGGCGTCTGGACTAACTCGGCGCCTGGCAACGGGCCCATCAGCATCACCTTCTTCCCCTAGGGAGGACAGGAGAGAGGACCCAAGGTGAGGGAGAGGGGAATATTAATAATTAATAATTAGGTACCTACTATGGGCCAGTGCCAGGCACTTCACTAAAGCCCTTCACAAATATGCTCTCCTTTGATTTTCACAACCACCACAGGAGGTGCTAGTATGATCCCCATTTTACAGTTGAGGAAACTGAGGCAGACAGAGGTTAAGTGACTTGCCCAGGGTCACACAGCTGGTAAGTGTCTGGGGCCACATAAACGTAGGTCTCCCTGACTCCAGCTTATCCACTGGGCCCCTCAGCTGCCAACATGGTATAGGAGAAAGAGCCCCTAATAAGGATTCCATGCTCAGCACTGCCACTTACCAGCTATACCTTGGACAAGCCCCTTCACTTACCCCCACCCCGCTCTGTTTCCTCTCATCTGTGAACCGATGGGATTGATCAGAAGATCACCAAAGAGGAGAGCCAGGATCTGATGTCACACATCTCTCACTCTCCCTGGGCTTCAGTTTTCTCTGGTACGACAGGCTAGGATTCCACGCCTCTTCCCCCTGGGGATGAAGCCAAACGCTCCAGAAAACTGAAAAGTTGTCCCTGAGACTAGACTGGGCCAGAGAGCTCAGGCTAAATGCCCCCCCTTAAAAGCTGATGCCACTTTCTGGTGTCCTCGGGCCATGTTCACTTGGCTTCCTGGTCACAAAGGAACATTTGGAGCTAGGGCCCTTCAGATCCAGCTGATGTCCCAAGGCCAAAAGAGAAAGGACTTCCAGAGGGGGAAAGGGAGGAGTGTGATACTGTCTATCCCTTCTTTTATCAACTACTAGATGAGCCAGGAGTGTCTCACTTCCCGCCAACACTGGACAGCCGGCTGGCTGGAGTCCGGTTCAGCCCCCACCACCTGTAGAAGGAGGGGGTGAACTGGACAGCTAGCTCTACGTCTCTTCCAGCTCCGACCTTCTAGGGATCAGAGGATCACAGACTTGGAGCTGGAAGGGCCCTCAGAAGTCATCTGATCCAACCCAAATCATTTTACAGATGGATAAACTAAGGCTCAAACAGGCTAACTGAATTGTCCAAGGTCACACGGTTAGTAAGTGGTGGGGCTGCAGTGCATAGAGCCCAGTCAGGAAGACCAGAGCTCAGACACATCCTGGCTGTGTGACCCTGGTCCCTTAACCTCTGTTTGCCTTGGTTTCCTCATCTGTAAAATGGGGATAATAAAAACCCTACACCACCACCCCATCGTGAGAATCAAATGCAATTGTAAAGCACTCAGTACAGTGCCTGGCACATAGTAGGAACTAAGTAAATGTCAGCTATTGTTATCACCATTATTATTGGCCTCAGTATACTTCTCACAAGACAGTTTTCTAATACCTAGCACATAGTGCTAGGCACACAGTAGGTGGTATAAAATGTTTCTTGATTGATTACTGCTGCCAAAAATAGAAGGAAAAGGGAGAAAAGCCATCTCCTCTCTCATCTTCCCATTTCTTCCTCAAACAAACAAATAAAAAATCCCAGCTTCTCCCCTAGAGAAGTACAAGCAGAGAAAACAACAGGCTTCACAAGTGTCCTTGGCCACCCCTCCAAGGTGGTCCCAATGAAGGTGGGGTGACAACATGGATGATTCCACACAACCCACCTCAACTACTTAACAACAGCTGCCTTGGCACGTCTCAGGGGGTGTGTGTCACCACTGAGATCTTTCTGCCCCAAAGCAGGCCCCGCTCCGTACTTCATCGTGGGCAGGATAGATCTAGTGACTTAAAGTCTGCAAAGCCCTTAACAGACATCATCTACTTTCAGCCTTACAGGCACCTTGGGATTGAGCTGCTACATGTCTTATTATCTCCATTTCTGGATGGGAAACTGGGCCTCAGGGAAATAACGCATCTCTCTCATGGCAGCAAATAGTGAGATCACAGATTTTAGACATGGAAGGAAACTCAGAAGTCTTCAAGCCCAACCCCCTCATTTTAGAGATGGAGAAACTGAGGCCTAGAGATGGTGTCCAGTCCGTGGTCCCTCAGACAGCAGGATCAGAAATTAAAAGCTGGAAGGTAACTCTGAGGTCACTGAGTCAAACCTCTTCATTTTACACATGGGGAAACTGAGGCCCAAGAGGACAGTAAGTGTCAGAGACAAGAGTGGAACCCAGGGCTCCATGACACCAGGGCCAGTGCTCAATCCACTAGGCCACACTAGTCGGGGAGGGATTTGTTAGTAATATTATTATTAGTATAGTATAGTTAGTAATAACTATATAAGTAACTATAGTATAGTTAGTAATATTATTAGTAATAATAACAAATAATAATAAAGTTTATTTGCTCATAACAAGCCATGAGACAATTAATCTCCTGGCTTTTGGCAAAGAGACTTATTTTTAGCTCTCCTTAGGATTCTTAAGAGAAAACTCTAGCAGGAGACAGAAAATAACAGAATGTCAAGAATGTAACTCTATATAGAAGCATTTTAGGACACCCCCCAAAAAACCCATTATTTCCCAGTTAATTGCTATTCTATCTTCCCATCCCACAAGAATGATTTTTCCCATTTTAAAGAACAAGAAATCAAGGGCCAGATATTAAGTGATTGTATAGACTGGAGCAGGAAAGAAACAAGATCTCAATCCAATGTACGGCTTTAAATTAAGAAAAAAGGTCTAGTGATTTTTTTTTCCGATTTTATGTAACATTTGGGGCCCCTTAAAACCACCTACACCAAAAGTAATCTTGTGTTCTCCCGGAATTCAATTTAAAAAACATTTATTATATGCCAACTACGTGCCAGGTACTGTTCTAGGATGTAGTGAATAAATGAATAGAGGGAGGAGGAAGGCAAGAGGGGAGGCAGGAAGGAAGGGACGGAGAGAAGGAGATAGTGAGGAAGGAAGGAAAGAAGGACAGAAGGGAGGAAGGAAGGGAGGGAGGGAGGGAAGGAGAGAGGGAGGAGGGTAGGGAGGGAAGGAAGAAGGAAGGGAGAAAGGAGGGAAGGAGGGAAGAAGACTGCATAACTGTGCCTCACTTTAATCTAATTCACTCAAAAGTCAAGGCATCACTCACTGCATCGTGACGTCATTGGGCCTTTGGAAAAGGAAGGATAAACAACAAGTCTAGGACACCAGTTGTCCCCACCACAGATGGGGAGCAGGGTTTGTTTTGAAAAGACCTGGGGACGATGAGGGAAGAAGGCAAACACAGACACAAAACCTTCCCTGTCTTCAGGGAGTTGACCTTTTACAGAAAATATCCATCCACACAACAAATGGACTGATTCAATTCAAGCAGCGCCATTTCACTGGGTGCTCTTGGGCCATCTATTTCAAAAGCCTGGGGCCGCCTCTCCCGGGTCACTCCAAGCCCAGCCCCAAACGGCCACTTTGTTCCTATTCTCTAGCCTTGGCTTGCCCCGCCTGCCCAACTTCCAGTTCTGAAATCACAAACCACGCTCACAGCACCTCCGTCATTATTCCTGGTTAGAGCTGGTCCATCCCCTCCCCAAAGCCACTCCCCACTACCTCTACAACTTTCCCAACCAAAGTAGCCCTCCTTGGCCACCTCCAGGTACCATCCTCTCCAAGAGAATGTAATTTCCTTAAAGGCTGGGACTGTCTGCTTCTGTACACAATACATACTTCATAAATGCTTCTTCACTCATTTGTTCACTCACACTATATGGCAAGGATTCTTAAATGGGAGTTTGCAAACTCTTTTAAAATATTTAATAAAATAAAATGTATTAACAAAATTAAACTGATTAATAAAAAATAATTTCACTACAGTATTTCAACATAATTAGTTTCCTTTGCAATTTTCTGTGTTTTATGTTACAAATTGAAGAACATCATTCTGAAAGGGGTCCATGGGTATCACCAGACTGCCAGAAAGGTCAGAGCCACAACAGAGGTCAGGAACTCTCAGGATGGGGAAAGCCACAGCCTTTCCTGCACTCCAGGACACAGCTTTGACATCAGTCTTATAAATCCAACTTCCTAATGGGTATGGGTGCTGACAGCCCAAGGAAAATGCATGAAAGAGGATGGAATTAATTTAGTTCTCAAAGCTATTAGTCATAAAAATCGGCAATCGGTTCCTAGGTTCCAGGCCCAGCTTTCAACCTGACGGGCAGAGATGCAGCACACAGCGGCACAACCGACGGCTGCCACAGGCACACTGGGCCCAACCCAGAGACTGCCACCAACTTTTTCACGAAGTGGCCTACAAGACTGTACTGGCAGGTCTCCCCTCGCCATATAAAGTGCTAATCAAATATTGTAAATTGCTAGTCACGTAGCAGATGGCTACCATCTGTAGCCTTCCAAATGAACATTTGGAGAGAGTATAACTGAAATATTACCCAAAGATGCCAGCAATCCTTAGTAACCAACTCCGCAAGTATGGGTGGGAGGTTATTTTAGTCCCAGTCAATAATATCCAAGAGCTGATCCATGTGGGTTCACTTAAAGATTTGAACCAAAAAAGAAAAAAAAAGCTCATTTCATTTAACATGTGGGTATATGACGAGCTGAGTAGCCCCGGACGCTACTGCATCATCCCAAAATCATAACCTAAAATTCTAGTAGTCTTCCTACTCTTCCAAGGCAGTAGCACAACCAACTCTGACTGACAGCGGATAAAAGGACTCATAACTAGGGCAGGGCAACTAGCACTTTGCCCTAGGGCAACAAAATTTTGAGGGTGTTGGCAGTTTTTATACTCCAGAAGCACAGAAAAGCTGAGTTTATCACCTAGTTACCAAAAATAAATAAGTAGAATGTGAATCTATCAGGAAGCGCTGGTTCATTCCATGGTGAGGGGGTAGCTGTACCCCAAGTGGGCATCACAGCTCTAGAGCCAGAAAGGGCCTAAGAGGCAGTCTAGTTCAAAACTAATTTTACAGATGAGGAAACTGTGGCCTAGAGAGGCTGGGATTGGAAGCCAGGTCTTCTGACTCGAGTATTCTGTGGTCTCTGGCTCTGCTTTCTCCCAAACAAAATGTGTCTTAAAGTTAATTTGGGAGTAGTTTTCACCTGGGATGTAGTTTATGAAGCTTGGCCTGAAAAACAAATAAACAAACAAAAACCCCACTACCAATGTGTGGTTTATCCAGCCCCTTTCTAGCCTCAAGGTCTTCCTCCCCTATTAACAAATCCCTGGGTCATTTTCTGTGATTTCTTTGTGTGCACTAGAGCTAAGGGTCTTCTACCTTAGGGGTCATCAAATCTCTCTGAGTTCTTCTCTTTGAAAGCACCAAGCCAGAAGGCTTGGTGGGGAGATTGCAGTAAGGATGGAAAAGGAGGATGTGGGGATTAGCTGAGGATTGGACACCACTGACTGGACCTCTCTATATACCCAAGAGAAAAGAAATGAAACCACAGATCAGTCCTAATCACAGGATCATAAACGCAGAGCCTGCATTGAATTTAGCACCCACCTGGTCCAACCTCCACTGTACAAATATAAAGCCCAAGGGGGAAATGATCTGCCCAAGGTCACCCAGTAGCAAGGAGAAGAGACAGGATCTGAATCCAGATCCCTGTGATTCCAGTGCCATCCTTCTTTCCATAGCAACACACTACTTTTATCTTTTCTTTCTGGAGAAGAATTGAACCTTAAATCAATCAAAGAGGGTAACACAAGGAATTTATGGGTCCCCAAGTCAAAAGCCTCTCAGATCTAAGTGTTATGAACCTTTCCAATCATTGTTCCTCTGTTATAGCAGACACTCTAAGTGGGGAGTAATGGTACCTAAAGTCAAGAAGGGGAAAAATGGTTATGAACATAGCAACGTGGAGAGTAGGGTAAGGGGACAGTGGAAAGAGGATTGGATTCTGAGTCAGAGAACCTGGGTTTGAATCCTGGACCTTCCATGTACTACCTGTGTGATACTAGACAAGCAGCTTCACCTCGCTCTGAGCCTCAGTTTCCTCATCTGTAAAATGATGAGTCAAGATGACCCCTATAGTTTCTTCCAGCTCAAAATATCTGATCCCACAGTAGAATGAGTAACGCACTTAACCCAATCCAGAAATCAAGGAAAACCCTCCCTACCAGTTTCCTGGGAGCCTCTACAGGGGATGGCCGCACAGCAGACCCCCATGGGGAAGCCCTGCTTTGGGTCAAGACCTCTAATGGCTCCACAAACTCTGTGCCAAGAATTTCCCCCAGCTCCTCTACTCTACAATTTTCTTACTTAGTTTACCTCTCTAGGAAAGAGTTCCGGCAAGATAACCTCGACCGCAGGAGTCATATAGTCACATGAGCACCTTTATTTTTTCTTTGTATCCAGCACAGGCCTAAGCACATTTTTTTTTTTTGGACTGGACTCAGGATTTCACGTGGTGCAGCGAACCAGCCTCTACCAACGCTGCTGTCGGTCAATAAACAGGTACGAGGTGCCTACTGTTTGCCAGGCACTGATTTAAGTCCCAGGGACATAGGCCCAGCTCTCGAGGAGACAGGAGTGCCGCCTGGCGCGTGGTGGGTGCTGAATTGAATCCCACCCCTCCCCCGCCGGGGTCTCCCCTGGTGGAGTCCTGCCGCTACAAAGTATCAGAGGCAGAATGCAAAGCCAGGTCCGAGTGCGAGGCTGCCTGCCTGAAAGCAAGGGTTCACAGAAAAGCGCAACACTCGCCCCTCCACGGCCAGTACACTGACCTCCACAAAGTCCTTGGTGGACGGCCGTCTGTCCTGGATTTTCATGCACTTGGAGAGAGGAAGGAAGTGAAGGCGGAAAATGTTTGGTTGTTGTTTTAATGGCGAGCCTGAAGCCTTGAGCCTTCTACTCCATTTCACGTTTAACTCATTTCCCAAGAAACCCTACACCAGGAGCCAAGGTTACCCGTCCCAGCAAGGTCAGGATCGAGTGCTTAGGGCCGCAGGGGGCAGTGCAAAGCACAGTGACCCTGGCTTTTGCCTGCGATCTCGGGCGTCACATCACCTCCCTGGGCCTCAGTTTTCCCATCTATAAAACGAAGGGCTTGCCTCTCTGGGGTCCCTGGCTCTACGAACCCACGCGATGCGCACTGGAGGGGCCGCCTCGGAGGGGTGCCAGGAAGGAGCCGAGGCCCCGCAGAGCGTCCTCCCCCCGCCAACTTTAAAGGGCCTGGTCAATATCATCGCAGGGAGCACCACGCGGGCGGCGCGTGCGCGCGATGGGAGGGCAGCCCCTCCCCCCACCCCCACCGCGGTCCGCTCCAGCCCCGGGCCCTGGCTCTGACCTAGGTCGGCGGGTGGGCGACGCTGCGTTCTACTTTGGAACGTCTGCCCGGAGGCGGCGGCGGCGACGGTAGCGGCTGCAACAAGGGCTGCCGGACTGCGGCGCGAGATCGCGTTTGCGCACACGGGCGCTGGCGCGCGCGACCAGACTGTCGTGCTCGCGTGATTTGGGGCTCGCTCCAGCTCCGGTTGCGGAGGAGAGACGGGACATGTGCGCTGCCGCGAGCGCCCTCTGCCGGCTGCTCTCTGAAACCTCGGCGCCGTGTCAAACAAGTTGTCAGCCGCTGAGACTCTGCGGACCTGTCAATCAAATCTGGGGCTGGAAGAGGTGTGGGGGTGAAACACACCCCAGGAACTCCGCACCAGCCTGACCAACCCACCAATTTCACTTTCTCATCGCATCCCCAAGTTCTCCCTTTACCAACTTCTCCCCTCCAAATTCCGTAATTCCTTTCCCACTAACTTTTGCCCAACATCTCCAATTCCCTAGTTCACTTTATACCAAGCGCACCCCATAAAGCATACCCTAGTTATGCCTCCCCCAACTTCTCCCACCAGTATTCCTTTCCCCCACTTTCCCTTTCCAACGTATTCCTTAGTTTCCCTCCGACGAGCTTCTACCCCCCATTCTCTAGTCCCAATTCTCCCCCCCCAAAAAATCTACTCCATCTGTTTTCCATTCCCAACATATTTCAGATTTTCCTTCCCATTAGTTTCTCCTGGTCGCGTTCCCTCTTCACCAAATACCTTCGTTTCCCCCCCCACAAACTTCTCTCCTCCAAATTTCTTAGTTCCATATGTGACAAGGGCATTTTATAGATAAAGCATGCCTTAGTTACTTCTCTCAGCCAGTTTTCCTTTCCCCCAAAGTACCCTGCCAACAAAATACCCTAGTCTCCTCCCTACAAACGTTTCCCCCCTCCCATTTCCCCGTCAAATTCTTCTCCACCAATTTCTCCTTCCTACTATATTCTCTCATTCCCTTCCTACTAACTTCTCCCTACCTGTTGTCTTTCCCCCAACTTCTGTTGCTAACAAATGCCCTCATTTCCGCCTACCAACTTTCTCTCCCCACTATATTCCCTGTTCCCTCCATACCAACTTCTTGCCCCCAATTGAATTTCCCAGTCTCCTTCCTACCAACTTTCCCTCCTCCAAATTCCAAACTTGCTTCCCCACAAACTTCCCTAATCCCGCCTCTCCCAATCAAATTCTTCCCACCAAATTTCCTCCACATCGATTCTCTCTCAGTCTTTGGACCTTAACACCAAAACATCACAGGTGTTAAAAGCAGAGGCTTCTAAGCCCAAAACTCCTCTGAGGAATTCCATTTCTCCCAAGGCTCTTGTGTTAAGGGGAATCCTATCCCCTGGATGGGAATCTGCCAAGGAAGAGTTCTGTGCCTCTCCTCAGTTTTGAGTCATTACATCAAATCACAGTCCCATAGGCACCTGTCAAAAGAATAACTATGACAGTAATGCAGTCATGTTTCCTTTTAGACCCATCTATAATTATAATTGAGAGAAAGAATTGTGGGATTTCATCAGAGGCAGAAGCTTCCACAACCACTCTCTGGAAATGGAGTAATGCTGTCTTATTAAAGAGGCCCTCCCCAGATCACTAATGTTCAAGGCTAAAGTGTTTCTCTGAATTGATTTAAATACAAGTTTTATATCCAGAAAGAAATAAAGATGAGGCTTTATGCTAAGACAAACCTGGTGCACCGTGATGCCGTGGCTCCTGCTGAGATAGGTGGATGAGAGCTCGGTTGTTAGATCTGCTTCTCTTCAGTCCTCTCTTCTCTAGGACTATTTCAACTTACTTGAAATGAAGAGCTACTTACCCCCCACAAAACAGCTTCCCTTCCACGCACACTTGAGTATACTTTTAGTATCCTTTTCTTAAAAGAGAAAAAAAAATCACTCCACCTCATCTTCTTTTCCCGGTGGCATTGGATTCAATGAGCGTGCTGTAGCCTTTTGAAGAGGAACAGGAAATGTTTCTGGAACAGAAAGCACTCCCACAATTTTTTCGAGTCTCAAACCTTCTTTCAGCTCTTCAGTAATCTCAGGCAAGTCACTCCCTCCTCTTAGAAAACCTCTCTTCCTTGGAGACTATGCCCAGGTGCCGGCTCCTACAGGAGAGTTATCCTAATCTCACTTGTCCTCCAAAAAATTACTTTGTATATATATTTTGTATTTACTTCTCTATTTTTTTTCTTCCCAGTAGAACGTAAGCTCCCTGAGGGCAGGGATTAATTCAGGATTTTTTGTCTTTGTAACACCAATGCACAGTACCTGGGCATCAAGTAGATCCTTAATAAATGCTTGTTGAAAGCCATTCTTCATAGATAAACACGGGATGTGAACAGGCAATTTTCAAAGGAAGAAATTCAAGCTATCAACAACCATATAAAAAGTTTAGGGGCGGGGGGCGGTGCAGCTAGGTGGACCAGTGAACAGAGCACTTGCCCTGGAGTCTGGGGGACCTGAGTTCAAATGTGATCTCAGACACAACAGTCACTAGCTGTGTGACTCTGGGCAAGTCACTTAAGGTGGATTGCCTCACCAAAAAGCAAAAAACAAAAACAAAAACAAAAACAAAAAAACACCAAATCATTAATAATTAGAGAAATGCAAGTTAAAACAACTCTGAGGTTCCACCTCACATCCATTAGATTGGCAGAATGACAAACATTGAAAGGGCTGGAACAGGCATATTAAAACATTGTTGGTAGAGTTTCGAATTGGTCCAGCCATTCTGGAAAATAATTGAGAACTGTGTCCCAGGAATCACTTTAACCAAGGAAAAGAACCTATATATATACAAACATATGTATAGCAGATTATTTTATAGTGTCAAAGAATTGGTAGCCACTGCCCAGCAATATCTTCCAAAACATACAGACACACAAACAGAAAAAAGAAAAGAGCATTTTTAAGTGAACCAAAGGAAGGCCAGAAAGAATCACAGACAAATATAGAAACTTTGAAAGTTACACGTGTGAATTATCATTTATATAGCATTATTTAGAATGTTCTTTATATTGTAAAAGAAGAGTCAAGCTGTATATAGTATAGATTCACAGTTTCATTACAATACTTATTTTTCTGTTCCACTATGTATATGGGAATGCCTATTTTATCTGAGGTTAAGTTTTGAATAAAAAATTTTAAACTATTGAATGAACAAATGAATGAATGAAAACATTTATTAAGCACAAAATGTAAGAATCAGGAATTTATAATGTATTTGGTAAATAATCGGAACCACTGAAGATTTTTTTTAGGCGATGATCAGAGATACATGTTAGGAAGATCAATTTGGGTAGTAGTGTGAAGGATGGATAAAGGACTGGAGCACAGAAACTAATTAGTGCGCAATGATGATAGTCTAAGGCAGCTAGGTGGCGCCATAGTGCACAGAGTGCCAGGCCTGGAAGACCTGAGTTCAAATAGGACTTCAGACAATTACCAGCTGTGTGACCCTGGGCAAGTCACTTCACCCTGTTTGCCCCAGCTTCTTCATCTGTAAAATGAGCTGGAGAAGGAAATGGCAAATCGCTCCAGGATGTTTACCAAGAAAACCCCACATGGGGTCCCATAGAATCGGACTTGGCTGGACACTGACTGAACAGCAACAAAAATGATAGCCTAGTGAGAGGTGGTGAGGGCCTGAATTCAGGTGATGGCAGAGGGGGTGCAGAGAGGCTACAGGTGCCTGAGATGCTGTGACACTGAAAAGAATGACCTTCGGCAAACCGATTCAGGGGGTGAACAGATGGGCAAAGAGTCCTCGATTTTGAGTCTGAGGGACTAAGTGGATGGAGGTGACATCATCATAAATCAGAAAATTAGCCAAACATGGAGGAACAAGTACAGGATTTAGAGTCAAATAACTTGGATTCAAACCCTTGTTCTATGACATACTGCCTTTGTGCACATGAGGAAAACCTCTTAACCTTTCTGGGCCTCAGTTTCCTCATTCGTAAAATAGTAATAGCTGGCATTTACCGAAGGCTTTGGCTTAACATTTGATCCTCACAACAAAGTTTGTGTGATTATTGTCTCCATTTTACAGATGAGGAAACTAAGGCTAAGAGTGTAGGTGACTTACCCAGGGTCACACAGCTAGCACCTGTCTGAGGTAAGATTGGAACTCAGGTCTCTCTGACTCCAAATCCCGAATTCTGTATGCTGCCACCTGGGGCTAGTGGTCCCTTCCAGCACTACTTCTCGATTAACTCCCTCCTGGCAGAAATGAACCGAGTCTACCTAAAACATACAGATTAACAAACTTTCCTGCAAATCAGCCCCTCTTATTTACACCCAAGCAGGGTACACCATTAAGGCAGATCCAATCGATAAATCGTTAAGCTTTTAAAGCCATTATTAGGCACAACTTGCTGGAAGGGAGAGCCTCTGCTGGTCACGCTGGTTTCTCTTCCTTCTCTTTTGTTTAACCCTTGAGAAAGCTCCAGATCTTTCTTTTGTTTTGTTTGATCAAGCTTAATATTTTGCAAGAAATTTTACCATCAGTCCTTTCACCCCTTCTATTGTTCCCAGATCATCGAGTTCCTGAATCAGAAACGTTCTAATACCAAAATCTCATAAAATATTCAGGTAGCAAGCTGTTCCCTTTACCTTGGAGAGGCTGTGCCTTCAGAGTCATTCAGGCCCTCCCTTTCTGCCATTACAGAGCAAACCCAAGATGCTACCGTTCACAAAACACAGTGGTGATTGGAAAATGTCTCCTAGAGGAAGGTCAAAAAATGCAGACTTCTTCTCCGCTCCACCCCAAAATCAAAATCAAAAG